GTCTTACACCCCATAAAGGCAGTTTTGGGGCTACCCTCAGGAACTGCACCTGGATGTCAGGGCGGATCCCACCAAGAGAGCAATTCTAACCTGCTTTAGGTGGGATCTGGAAGATAGACACTCTTGTTGATATATACTCCTTTCCTGCCATATTTGAAATTCACATTAAAGGATCAAAATCTCAGAGGCAGAGCTCCCGACTCAGGCTCTAATTCCGGCCCACTACCTGTGCCCTGGGATGAAGTCCCACAGGCCGCATAGCTATCAAGTGAGGTCACCCCGATTTTCATATAAAGGGCTTGCCCCCATCTGCCTTTTCACAGGGCTCCGCAGAAGATTAGCTGGGACGGCTGTGGTCACATTACTAAACCTGTTAGCATTTGTCCTCCGGACCGAGAAATTTCCCAGGCATATTCAATATTATAGTTTCGAAAGAGTGTTGGCATTTCACTAGAAGGGAATCACTGGCCATCTGGTGTGAAAAATACTTAAGACTGCATTTGTGGCTCTAAGACATTCATATTTCCATTCCAAAAAAAAAAAAAAAAAGCCACTTCCTCTGTTGCCACCATCCCTTCCTCTCTTCTGCTTTTCCTTTCCACCTTCCACCTCACCTCAGTTGGTGCCTACAGAACTGCCCCCAGCTCTTTCCCCCTGCTCCTCTGGAGGTGATATATGGGGGAGTGGCTGGAGTGCCCTGCAGTGCGTTTCAGTCCTGGCAACTTCTGTATTTCAGCTTTTTCTTTTGTGAAATGGGGATACTACCTACTTCACTGGAGGCACGGGGGAGGATTACATAAAATAACGCACGTAAAGTGCCTAAAACAGTAGTAAGTACACAGCACCACTCAAATGTGAGTGGTTCTTTTCTAGCTCTGGGGCAGGGATACACTAATTGAGGCAGAATAGTGTTTATAACTTTTTTTCAAATGCTGGTTACATCCCCTTAGTAGGCCATGGTGGGTTGTTATCAATATTATAAAAATTTTTTTTTGAAATGGAGTAAAATATCGGAATGTGTCACTTACGGGAAGGGAAGTACTATCTCACGAAAATATTGTTTCCTATGGCGTCTGTTCCAGGTCCTACTGGTCTTAGTTGAAAGTGGAAGCTATGCACTGCTGTGGAATGATCCCCGACTGCAAACAGGCAGACCTGGGCTCGCTCACCAAGCAGACCAAGTCACTCCTCTCCCTGGAACTTGTAAATGCTCACACTCCACAAAAATCCAACACCCCTCACCAAGAGAATTAGGGCTGGTGATCCAGCCTCTGCCTCCTTCATTTCAAACCCTCTCCCCACCATGTTGCAGCCCCACCAGCCTTCTCTCCATTTCTCCAACAACCACTTCAAGGCCCTGACAGCACTTCTGTTCTCTCTGCCTGGAAAGATTTTACCTCAGCCCTTCAAAGAGCTGGCTCCTGTGGGTCTCCAGTCAAGTATCATTTCTTCAGAGAAACCTTTGCTGACTCCCCAATACCGTGACTCCCTTCTTGCCCAATCCTCAAGGGGCACCACCACACTAGTAGTGCCTGCTGGAGTTGTGCAACGTGGATACCCTACCCAGAGTAGTCTTCATTTTCCCTCTCTTCTCACGCATATTATAATTACAGACATTCAGAATGTGTTTTAGTCTCTGGGCCTCAGTTTCACCACCTGAAAAATAAGGAAAAACCAAAAGTTCCTTCCAGCTCTAAACTACTATTTCTGTAATTAAACTCTTCCAGAAATTCTCTTAGTATACGACCATCCATTTTCCTTTCACTCTCATTAAATACATTACTTACCCTGCACTGCCAGGAAGGTAATTTTATTTAAATGCATTGTGATGTTACCCAAAGCTTACCCTTTCTAAGCATATGTTCTCTTAAAAATTTTTATGTATATATGAGTGGAAATCTTTCTAAAACTGATTACATCCTCTTTTGCTATCAATAGGAAGATACTAAACACACTCTCACTTGTTATTAAGGCTTTAGAGTTCATCAGCAGTTTCATTTCTTTAACTAGAGGCATACCAGAGTGCGGCCCTTGGAGGCACACCGGGCTGCCCCATCCAGATCTGCTTTGCACAGATGCTCTGAGTCGGTCTCTCTCCTTTATGCCTCAATTGATTTTCTGCCGTTCATTCGGAGCTGAGAAACTACATGACCAACCATGGAGGAATTGTGTATAAAATGAGTGGTAAAGTGTGCAAACTTTGTACTCAGAGGACTTTTGTTTACTCCCTAGTTCTTGCTCTATTTGAGTAGCGGAGCCAGTAGATCATGACCCCTAGACAGAACTTCACATGGCAGTGGGGGTCTTGGGGGCGAAGCGAAGAGGACCATCATGCTCAGCACAGGCAGGACTGTTCAAAGTGTGTTAGATAACAACACACCTTCCAAGGACCCCATTTGTGTAAATATGTGAACATTTAGAGAGGGAAACGAAGGAAGCACCCCCAAATAATCTCTTTAGGTTCACCTGAGGCTTACAGTTCTCAGAGCACATACTACACAAATAGGATTTTATTTAAAAAAAAAAACGTTAACTTTCTAACATTTAAGGTCACTTAAGTTTAAGGTCACTGCTACAACCCCTAACTCTTTAAAACACTTCAGAGGAGTGCCAGCCAGCTTTCACAGGTACTTCAAGGTCTTGACTATCTCTCCGGAGCATTAAAATATGTGAAGCTCTGTGTACCCCAGTCCAGGGCCCCTGTGGGCAATCCAAATGGGGTGTCACAGCCCGGACTCTTCCTAGCTTCCAGGAAAAGGGTCACAGTCTCTAGCCTTAGAGTTTTAACTCTGCTAAATCAACATCCAGTTCAAAAGAAAGGAGTTAACTGAATCCAAAGGACTAAAAAAGAGCTGGAAGAGGGGAGACAAAGACGACAGCGGGTCTGTGTGAACATTTATATAATTAGGAACATCTGGTTTGGGGGTTCTTTTGTAATCCTGTTGTGGAAATAAGTTTAACTACCATATCCTGACAACAGACACAAAAACCGAAGAATACAGAGAGCTCTCCAAAGCGTGTCCAACAGAGTAGACCCTTAGCCACGTGAACTCTCCAAGGATACAGCAATCTAGATATCCAACTTTCCCAGATACCTATAAAGATGTATTCAAAATGAGTTCTTTTGGCAAGAAGTCTGAGGCTTATTCATGTTTCCCCATCTTCTCAATGTCTGAGAAACCCAAATTTAAGTGGAGAGTCAGGGTCATCATTCTAATACCCTCAATCCACGACCATCAGTCTCAACATCCAACAGAGGTAACTTAGCCACAGAGATACGACTTGAGTGACCCAAATTTATATGCTTTCTCAGTTCAATTCTGCTTCTTTCTGAAAATTATAACCAAGATTTCAAGGACCTTACAAGCTGTGAAAACACACATGGGCTTTGCGCCATTTATTCTGGCCGGAAACCAATTTTTGCTCTTTTCCCAAGTTCTTAATGTGTTTGAGATAGGTTGTTGCCAAAGCCTCCAGTCCCTGTCTGACCCGCAAATCCAATGGCTTCATTTCAGTTCCCATCCTCCCATACCTCTCGAAAGCCCTCCATCCTCCCCCCCCCCCACACCCACACTGTTCCTTCTCAGGATCCCACACTAAATTCCTGTCCTTTAAGTGTGCATTCATCAGGGTTCTGACGCGCCGCCAATGCCTCCTCTCTCTGGCTTATCTCACTCTCCACCTTGGTTTTAACCACCACCCTTAGGCCTGCGGCTGCCCAGCCACACACAGCCAGCTCAGATGTTGCTCCAGCTCTCTCTCCTCACTGTCTACCTCGTTTCTCTACTGGATGAGCCCTGGGCTCCTTATATGCAAGGGTTCCAAACCAGTTCCCCCAGGAACTAACTATCCTTGTAGGGATTCTTATTCACTTGATCATCTAAGCTAGGAACCTGGGTGAGAGATATAACCACTCAGGTGCTAGGTCCTCACTCTCCTCCTCCAAAGTGGCTCTTTAACATGCACATCTCTTGATCTCTAGAGCCCTAGACTACACTCTCTTCTCTCTCCCAGCAATCAGACATCTTCTATAGTGTGGGCTCCCTGTCTCTAGTGATCCTTCCCAAACCATTTTTCACACTATTACCAAAGGGATCTAGAAGAAACCTCTTTGTGCCATTATTCCTGGACTCGCAATACCACGTCTTCCCACATGGCCTATTATAAAGGACCTTCAACAGCTTGAACCCAACCCACCTTTCTAGCCTCAACCCCTAGCATTCCCTGTTCCCTGCTTCGGTTCTAGGTTACAGCAGTCTCCCTCAACATCAGGCACCTTCCTGATTTCACATTTGCACATGCCCTTTCCTTGCCTTCTCTATCTCCCTTTGAGATCCTACCAGAAGCCACCCCCTTCCTCCATCAATAAGACTCCCAGGATCTCCAGGTATAGAAGCAAACTTCTCTCCTCGCTCTCGCTTGTCCACCCACCCCACTACGACTGGAGTTCTTCAAGGACAGAGAGCTTCTCTCTCTCCTTGGTTCTTCTCTTCAACCCCATGATCTAGCACAGAAAGTCCTCGATATACAGACAGTACTCAACAAATACTTCTTAATTTAAAAGTCATCCATTATGGAAATAAAGCCTTTAGTGTTTTGCCACATGTAAGTAAAGCTTAAGTCTCGGTTTTTCTGAAGGAAACATTTTGCAATACCATCTTGCTTTTTATAGAAAAGTTGTGAGGCTCCAATAGGTTTACTTAGGAAGTTAAAGAAAATGTTTCTAGACACATAACACCTATGGCTTTATAATTAGGTTACTTTTTCAATAGCCTGTAAAGTATGCTATCTCGCAAAAATGCTAAAACCCAAAAGGTGACAGGGCAAGGAAGTGGATTCTACCATTTCTAGCATGCATTTCCTGGTTTTCTTAAGTTGTATAGAGTTTAAAGCATTCTGAAACAGTTAAACTGTTAAAGATACAATTAGAAATACACACACACACAAGCACACAACTCAAGACCAAATGATAGGATTTTTTTGATTTGTCTTACAGCTGAGGACATTGTGGTCCAAAGAATTTAAGTTCCGTATCTAAGATCACACAACCATTTGGGGGAAGACTCAGGGCTTGGACTCCCATCTTCAAATTAAAGTCCATTCATAAAATACAGGCAAATTTTCAAAATAATGTGTTTTCACCAAATACCCAGTCATAGGATGGTAACACTAAGTGTTGAACATTACAGCATAAGGGCAAAGAAAATCCTAACTTTAAAAACTTGGCTAGGGCTAGCCCGGTGGCGTAGCAGTTAAGTTCGTGCCTTCCACTTCCCGGCCTGGGGTTCGCCTGTTCGAATCCTGGGCGTGGACCTACTCACCGCTCGTCAAGCCACGCTGAGGCGGCGTCCCACATAGGAGAGCTACAACTCTACAACTGTGATACACAACTCTGTACTGGGGCTCTGGTGGGGGCAAAAAAAACCTTGGCTAAATCTTGGTTGCTGGAGATATAACCACAAGAGTAGCCAGCCTTTGGACAAAATTTACAAAGGAGAGCAAAGCTGAAAGACTAATAGAAAAAGTGGGAAAGACATCCACTTCTGATCAAAATGGAGTAACAGTGACCCATTTTACTCTCCCACCTGAACCAACCAAAAAAAAAAAAAAAAGAGAAAATATATGAAATAGTTTTTTCAAGACACTGGACATCAGATAAAGGACCAAGATCCCGGATACATGGGGGAAAAAAAAACTAAGTGAGCCCTACAGTTGCCCCAACTTACTGCCTGGAGAGAGGCCCCAGCTCATGGGCAGGGAGGCCAAGCCGAGCCCGGGGGACTCTCCAAATTGGAGAGAGAGAGCTGAAGGTCTGAGGAAACCTAGTTAATCAGAGTTCACAGGACAAAGTACCAAGGAGGAGAGCTGCACAAAGAACCCCAGAGACCTGCAGAGGGTCCCCCTGAAGGATTCAGTAGTAAATCAACCCCCGCATGTGAGGCAAGTAGCCAAAGCTCAGACAGAGTGTGTTCCCATAGGCCAGAATGGACTAAGTCCTAATTCAGGGGCTTTGGGAAAAGGACCTATAAAGGTCTCTCCTCAAAAGAAGGGAATACTTAGCCCTAAACTGAGACTTCTCTGGATCTGTCTCATCAATTGTAATAGCAAGATATAACTATAAGCTAATAACTATATTCCAGAACAAAGCTTAAGAATACTTTTAGGAATATACAAATATCAAGCACCCAACAAAGTAAAATTCATAATGCCTGGCATCCAAACAAAGGTTACCAGGCAAGCGGACAAGTAGGGAAACATACTCAAAAGAGAGAAAAAAAATCAATTGAACCTGATTTTAAAGGACAAAGATGATAGAATTAGCAAAGACATTAAAAGTTATCAGAACTGTATTCCAGATGTTCAAAAAAGTGAATTTAGTAAGGTTGCAGAATACAAGATAAATATACAAAATCAATTTTGTTTTCATATATTAGCAATGAACAACCAGAAACTGCAACTTTAAAAGTAGTATCATTTACAACAGAATCAAAAACTATGAACTACTCAGTGATAAATCTGACAAAAGACACAAAAGACTTGAACACCGAAAACTACAAAACACTGTTGAGAGAAATTAAAGAAATTATAAATAAGTGGAGAGATGTACTGGTTCATGGGTCGGAAGACCCATTATTGTTAAGATCTCAATTCTCCCCAAATTGATCTATAGATTTAATGCAGTCCCAGTCAAAATTCCAGGAGGGTTTGTTTTGTTTGGTTTTGGTAGAAATTGCCAAGCTGGTTCTAAAATTCACGAGGAAATTAAAAGGACCTAGAAGAGTCAAAACAAGTTGAAAAAGAACCAAGTTGGAGAGCTAACATTACCTGACCTCACAACTTATTATAAAGTTATAGCATTAAAGAGTGTGGTATTGGCATAAAGATAGACAAATAGATCAATGGAACAGTACAAACAGCCCAGAAATAAAACCACACGTACATAGGCAACTGATATCAGACAAAGGTACAAGGCTGTGCATCTTTGGCAGTGGAGAAAGGAGAGTCTTTTCAACAAATGGTGCTGGGGCAACAGGCAAAAAACAACCCAAACCAAAAATCATACCTTGTGCTGTATACAAAAATTAACTCAAAATGAATCACAGACCTCAACATAAAATGTAAGATTATAAAACTTCTAGAAGAAAACCTTTGTGACCCTGGATTAAGGAAAGATTTCTTAGATTCCATACCAAAAGCATAATCCATAAAAGAACAAATGGACAAATTGGACTTCATCATAATGAACAACTTCTGTTCTTCAAAATACACAGTTAAGAGAATGAAAACAGCATGGGAGAACATATGTGCAAAGCATATATCTGATGAGACTTACATCCAGAATACATAAAGAACTCTCAAAACTCCATAATAAGAAAACAACTCAAATAGACAAATGATTTTAACACACTTCACAAAAAAGAAATACAGATGGCAAATAAGCATATGAAAATATATTCAACATCTGTGGCCTTTAGGGAAATACAAATTAAAAATACTATAAAATACCACCACACATCTATTAGAATGGCTAAAATTAGAGACTGACTGTACCAAGTATTGGCAAGGATTCTGGTGAACTGAACTAGCATACACTGCTGGTGGAAATGTAAAATGGTACATCCACTTTGGAAAAGTTTGGTAGTTTCCTTATGAAGTTAAAACCCAGCATTCCTAGGTAATAATCAAGACAGACGAAAGCATAAGTCCATATAAGGACTTGTACATTAATGTCCATAGAAGTTTTGTTTGCTGTATGATTTCCTAGATATAAAACTTGAGGAAATGCAAACTAAGCTATGGTGACAGAAAGCAGATCAGTGGTCGCCTGCAGAAGGGGGGGTATGGTGGGGGGAATTACCAAGGGGCACAAAGATATTTTTGGAGATGATAGGTATGTTCATTATTTTGATTGTGGTGATGGTTTCACAGGGATACACATATCAGAAGTTATCAAACTGTACATTTTAAATATATGCAGCTTATTGTATGTCAATTATATCTAAATAAACCTGTTAAAATTAAAAGAAACCCACCCTACTTGGTTAAATCATGAGTATATAAACAGAGAATATTAACTAGCAAGCTCATTAGGATACGGTGCATCCACTAATACCAGCAACATCAGTAATGCCCCACACACAGTGCTCTAACAATTTATTCAGATGCCTTGAGTATCCAAAAATGACCAGAAACACAAATTTTGATGTTAGAGGCTCAATTAATATTCTGACATATTTTCTCAAGATATGTGGTCTTACTGAACTTTACCTAGGTTTATACTACAAAATGAAGCTACACACAGAGTACTAGTAAGTCCATTTGCTAAAGCCACTTCTAGACATTACTAGAAGTGGTATTCTAGACATTCCTCTTCACACAGAGGAACTCAACAGTGATATGCTGGGGTCACAGTAACTGGTTCAGAAGTCCAGAAACATTTCTCTAGGAGAACTGGGTGTACAGAAGTAATAAACCTTTTTCTTCCATTCTATTTTCCTCATGCGTTTAGAGTGCAAAAAAACCTCTACTTATCCAAAGACCTCTAGAAACTGATCGTATGTACTCAGTGCACTTACAACCCCAAAGTGCACATAACCCTGACATATCAACGTTACCTCTCCCCTTTCTGCCTTTACTACACTGTTCTTTTGCCTAGAATGTCTCCCCTTCATCTTATTAACGGCCACCCATTCTTTAGAGCAGCTTCCCAAAGGCGGTGCCTGAAGAATGAGAATCACCTGAAGTGCCGGGTTTCTCTCTCACATGTGTGCACAAGGGAACATCTGGAGGGTGATGGGAATGTTATATACACACGAATGTTCTGTTTGTATTTTCTATTTCAACTGTGGTGGCCGATATCTGGTCGTATATACTTGTTAAAAGTCACTGAACTGTACATTTAAAATGGGTGCATATTATCGTATGTAAATTATAATTCAGTGAAATTGGTTTAAAAAGAAAGCCCACACAAAACTATATAACACAAAATGAAGAGGGGAAAAGAAACCCTGAGACTTACATCAGAAGTAGTCGTCAAGCTCACATTTAAGCCAAGCTTCAATTCTCAGCCTCGATTCCTGATATAAACACAGGGTCAGTTATCTGGTTTCCTAACCTTCAAAAACGAACCTCTTGGTAAAAAAGGTAATTTTGAAAGGAAAAAAAAATTCACCAGAAGGCTCCAACCATGTTTCACTCTTTTTTCCTTGATTTCACCACTGTGCTTTAGACACATGTCAATAAATGCTGTTAAACTAACGTCCACAGTGACAGCTAAGAGAGAAAGATGCAACAACAGAACACACAATGACCGACGTAAGAAACCAGAATCTCAGAATGACTATCAAGAAATAATTTATCAATGTCTTATTCTAAGAAATCAGTGTCAAATGATGCATTTTACAAACACAATTTAGATTTTGAGATGCAATTTAGAAATACCATAAAAAATCACCAAGCTATTGAAATATAATTATATCTGAATGGGTAAATTTCAATTAATTGGTTAAAAAAATCCCACATACATGGAATGTCTCATTCCCCAATGACCCTGGTTATTAAATGAGATATACTAGATTATTTTAAAATTTCCAAGTAAACATTTTAAGCTATCATTTATGAGTCTTTACTTAAAAGGCTGGGCACTTGTAAACCATTTCATCAACATTATCTCATTTAGTTTTAATAACCCTATAAGGAAAGTATTACTGTCCCCATTTTATAGATGGCAAAACTGAGGTTAAGAGCAGTTCAGCTATTTGTCCAAAGCAACACAGAACGTTCAATTAGACTCCAATGACTACGCTTTTGTCCGTTCTAGATTTATAGCTTGGGACTGTTATTTTTATTATTGGATCATAAGCTTATTCATTAACAAGCTATGCATTTTCTCAATGGTTACTTAAGCATTCTTAACCTACACAGGCAAATCTGCAGTGCAAACTCAATGGATGGTATACCAGCTCCTAATAAATCCCATCTGTTTTACTGGTTTTATGCATGATAAGAACACACTCATATACATTAAAGATATATTATATTTTCCCCTCAAAGTTCACATGGACTTTTCTGCTAACTTGAGGACAATTTACCTTCTTGCCTTTGAGAGCCACTATACTGGGTTAAAAAAAAGTTAGAAAAATTATGTTTGCTTTTAAATGTTGTTTTCTGGCACCTCTACAACCTTTTACAGAGTTCAACTCTGTAAAGTGAGATTTGATAAAATGAGATTTGATAAAATCTCATACAATGTAAATAATCCAAAACCTGGTATAATGTGTTTGAGAAATGGACCTGGAGTCCGACAGATTTCAATTCTGATAATGCTCTTGCTTTTAAGTAGGTGAAAAGGCCTGGCAGGGAGCTAACATGAGAGTGATTACTAGCAAAAATTCAACAGTCGTATTTATTGCCACATTCGCAGCACAGATTTCCCAGGTTTGTCTACTACTACTACTACTACTACTACAATGTGCACATTCCAAGTTATAAACAAAATCTGTACCTGCAAGGCTGAGCTGTGAAGAGAGAAGACTTACTTTTTTGCATACACAGAATGCTCAGCAGGCAACAGAGCACCGAGGAATCTCCATCTCACCTCTGCCCGCTCATCCCTCCCCTCTGGGGCAAAACAGTCTTTTCCTGGCACCTAGGAATCAGAACTTCTACTCCCCACAGAAACAGCATAATAAATAGCGGCAAGGGGTAGGACCTGTCACACTAAAGGTGGAACATGCATCTGTAAACTGATTTAGGAATCTACCTATTTATAAGGTTCTCACAGGAAAGTACTTTTGAGTTCCAAAAAGCCGGCATACACACACCTTTATAATACAACCCATTTTTACCACAGCGATTGGTAGCAGCCTTCTCTTTATTCAGCAGTCTAAAAATTATCTATCTCCAGGTGAATTTCAAAGAGTAATATTCTCATTTGAGACACGTACATTATTAAAAAAATCTCATTCAAACTGTAAAAGCCGGAAGGGCAAGTCCAATCCCCTCATTTTCCAAATGAGGAAACCGAGGCTCACAATCACACAGGCAGCCGGGCAGGCCTCGGACACAACACAAGTGGAACTCCCAATCCAGGTTTCTTTCAGATAAACACCAGAGACAACTGGTGCCCCACTTCTCAAGTGGCAGGCTTTCCATCCAATCATATCTGCGACCAGTTTTACAGCACATTTTTTTTTTTCTTTTTTAATCCAAGTTGATGGCCCTGTAAGTACAACACCAAAACCTCCCATGAAGAGCAGTATTTTGGTATCACGCCAACACAGTCCACATATCACATCTCAACCACCACTGTCTGTCTGGTAAGGCCATCCTTCATCTTTGGGGCCACACCACCCCCCACACCTTTATCTACTTTTATCTGCCCAGCCTGTTTCTCAGTTATTTTCCAAGGCTTCTGCATACAAACAAGCTTGCTTGCTGTCTGGCCCCGTCTGCAGACTCCTCTTCAGTAGGAGTGATAGTGAGTTCCTACTGTGTGCAAGGCCTAGCGCCAACACCGGAGAAGTTAATTCTCTCCTGCTCCTCGTCAAAGGCTCGTCTCGTCAAGGAAGCCTTCCCTGATAAATGTGACACTCTGGCTTTCAGACTCCTTTAACTGCAACCACAGAAAGAAATAGTCCTACATGTGACCCAATACATACCCCTTCATATACATCCTCAAATAACTCCAAAGTTTCACATATTATTCTTACTATGTATGAGAAATTGATCTTCTTCATCCAACTCCATTTCATTTTTTAAAATGTCCTAGAGAGAAAAAAATCTAGGGGGATGGAGAGAATACATCATAAAACGCACACAATACACAAAAGAATACGCAAAATGTCAGATGTAAAGAAACAATGAACTTTAGACTTCTAAAATCTTCTAAATTTATTTCTCAACCCACTAATGGATCATGACTTGCAGTTTGAAAAACAATGCTCTGCAACATACAAGAGTGATTACTTTGGCAGGATGCTAGTAGAAGAGCTGGAGGTATCAGCAAATACTTAGGTATGAGACCCTCTCCCAGAAAACATCACACCTTCTCTCTGCCCTTAGAGATGTGGAGCCACCACAATGGAGAATTAGTACCTGCACCCCACAGGTCAAGGATCGGGGAGAGAACCAAATTGGGGAGAGACTAAGATTTCACTGAAGTGCCATTTCAGGAGTAGAAAGATTGGGGTTTTGTTTTTTTTTTCTTAACACCCTGGACAGTCTTCACAACCTCAATTCTTCCCCTTGTGTCAGGAGGCCTACTGCCAACAGGACTGTCAAGACTCGCAAGCAGGAACTTTATTCTTCTTGAAAACCCTGCACTCCATCCAGAGACTTGATTGAAGCAGAATTTAAAATAATAATAAGCAGCGGGTTATTTTTTAAGTCTAAGATAACTTTTCCACTTTGTGAATTCTGTTAAACAGTAAACTCCCCACTCTGGAGGACACTGGTTTACCAGTGGGGAGAGAAAGGCAAACAGAGGTGTGAGAGAAAAAAATCTAGGACAGACCATAAAATACATACAACACACGAATGATTATATAAGATGTCAGATGCTGTAAAGAAACAGTGAACTTCAGACTAAAACTGAAGAATTATCAAACACATACTGTATCCCTTTTCTGTCCAAAGTATGACAAACGACTAACAGTAGAAACGTGAATTACTCGTCATACTTTTCTAACTTAAAATAGCACAATTCCTTCAGCTGTAGGAGGCAGAATTATCTTCCAACGTTAGAAATAGAAAAACTAACTTTAAGAGAGAGAGAGAGATTCTGCATTGGTGTAGCAGCGCCTTGACACTTAAGTCAAGAGTGATCACACTGGCTAGAAGATAAATTACTTACACCTGAGCAAGCCATGGAAGGCAAAAAGTAAAAACACGAAAAATATAGATGGACTTTTCAAGAAGTCATTTAATTATCTGAACTGTATATACATGTGATTTTTTAAAACGGGAAGGGAGAGCAGAAAAAGCTTTGGGAGAAGACTTTAAACCTAACAGGAGGCAATGCTTTCCAGATCATTCCAGTAAACAATGGTTCAACCCATTGAGAATCCAGAGACATTTCACCTCCAGGCAGAACACACGCTGCCTGGATTTGTGAAGTTTAGATGCTGGATCTAGGCCATGGAAACGCACTAAAAAATCCTAATTCTGAAGCTCTAAGCGTTTCCATTTAGAATTAAACAGGACCAGGAAGTTTTCCTCCCCTTTAGAAAAACCGAGGCGTCACTTCTGTTTCAATTTATACCTGTAAAGTGTAGTCGGGGGGAGGAGGAAGGGGATGAGAAGGAGAAGCTGGAGGTTTAAGATACCTGGATGAGCTGGGGCAGAAGCTAACATCTGGAAGACCCGATTCCTAATAAGCAACGGGCCGTCTAAGACAAGTTAATCCCTTTCATATCAATCGCAAAAGCGCACTTCGAGACGGGACTGCGGACTGCGAGAGACGGCCGGCCAGGTGTAGGAGGCTGAAAACTCCCCGAAGCACCAAATGTCACACTTTTTCATGCTCACGCCCTGCCAGCGCCCAATCCACGTTTGCTGAGGGAAGGGAAAGCCCGAATGAATGAATGGATGGGAGAGAGAAGTCCGGCCAGAGGCTCGGGGCAGGGCCCCACTCGGGGTGGCTCGGGACGCCCGGCGCCGGGGACCCTCGGGCGCGGGGCAAGGCGCGGGGCGCCGGGTCGGGCCCGGCCGAAGGAAGGCGGCGCAGGGGCCGCGGGGCTCACCTCGTCGCCCCACTTGAGCACGTCCTTGTGCCGGTCCTTGACAGCGTGGTAGATGTGCAGGAACTGGAGGATGCCGTGCCGCCGCACGTGGTCGGCGTGCCGCTGGGTCTCCTCCCAGCTCAGCGGCGAGCCCTGGGACAGCAGCCCCATGGCCGCCCCCTCCTCCTCCTCCTCCTCCTCGGGGCTGCCGGCGCCGCTCGCTCCCGGCGCGGGGCGCGAGCCGGACACTCAGCTGC